GCATTGACTTACAAATAAATGGACGTCGGGTCCGCGCTAAAAAGTGTCCGCACTTGTAAGGCGCTAAAATCGTATACAGAGCGCGACACTCCGCTTTAGTCTTCATATGTTCTACGGACAGCGCGATACTGCGATGACATAACAATTTAGATTTCGAATAGGTTGACTTGGGACATTTTTTTCGTGGTTTTTGTATTAGACCCGTCGTCCATTTATTTGTAAGTCAATGCTTTAACCCCTAATATATGCAGGTTATCTTATAATACTCGCGCAGCCCAGGAATGGAATTACCTGTCTGCGACTGTGTTTCCCAGCACATACAACCGGAGTATTTTTCAGGTGCGACTGAATAGGCATCTTCTGGGCGAGCTCGTTCCATCATAGACCCTATTTTGGCCTAAGATATTGCCTAAGAGCGAGTAAAATTACTTAAAAAAAAGTATGCATACACGAAAAAATATAAAACGAGGCGGAATATAACAGGACATAAAATGGCCTGTTTTGACGACCTTGCACTTGTCGATTATCTTGTAGATAGAAAATAATTAGATTTTTGTTAATAATACAGACCGATGACGACGGAGTACAATAATAATTAGTAATTACATACCTATAATACAAGGGATATAAAATACGTGCTCTTGCAACGCCCATTTAGCTATTATGTACAGTTAAGACAACTAATTATTAGTTTCTCTATCTTTACCAGAATTGCATTTTTTAGCATAGGCTTCTTATAATTTATATTTATATAATTTTAACAATTAATATAATTTTTGTTTTGTTGTGCACGTAAACCCGTTTATTTAATTATTGTGTCCTGTACTTAGGTCTGCAGGAACAAATTTATATTAGAAATAAACAGAACCTTTTGTTTATGTTTTCCTTTTATTCAATGTGAATTGTAAGTGTTCTATACTTATGATATATATATATAATATGAAGTAACAGTCCTGTTACTTGGTACGTCCGTACCAAGTCGTGTGCCTGGTGTTAAGTAATACGGCTGTCCGTAAAAGTTACAATGCCACTCAGAGCTTTATCCGCAAAGATCTCTGGGGCACTGCCACTTCGCCCGTCACCCTGAGACATAAGTTGACAAGTCACTGTGCCTATAATTTCACCAGCACCCTTACCATTACCAGAACGCAGTAATGCTTACATTACTGCTTGGCGGCTGAAATAGATCAGGTGACAGTATTCCCTGGACGAACTCTTTCACAAGGCGCTCTACAGCTTCTATAGTACTGTAATGTAGGTAATTATTAAAAACGAAACTTGTGATACAGATAGGTTGTTTCCATACAAATAATCTACTAACCATACTCAAAAGTTTATTGAGAAAACGTACGAAAGAAAACAGCGAAGATACAGACATACGTAGAGCAGACCGGGAAAAAATAACGCTAAAGGGTTAGTTTACGCTACGCTAAACGAATCAAAAGCGGTCACCCTTGCATCTTGACATGTTCCCGTGACACCGTTCACGTCTCGTAATTAAGAAACCTGATGTGATAAAAACGTTTCGTTTTTAACGAAATATTCAGATGTAAAACTGGTTTGTTGTTTAGAAACGAAACTATTTTTTCGGGACTCAATTGCGTATATTTGTTTTTTCAAACAACAAACATTTCGGACCCTTTACAGGTCTCATGGTCACGGCTGATTGAAATGGTAAAGACAACCAGTTATGTCCAACAATAATATATATGTTTAACAATGTGACGATTCTGACCACCTTCATCGTCATTTTAGTAGCGGTAGAACTCCTTGTGAAAGAGTTCGTCCAGGTAAGTACTGTCACCTTACCTATTTCTACTACCAAACAAAAGGGTGCTGGTGAAATTACTGGCACATGGGACTTGTCAACTTGTGTCCCAAGGTGTCGGGCGTAGGGGCAGTGCCACTTAGATGTTTGCGATTGAAAGCTCTGAGTGGCACTGCAACTGCTATGGACAGGCGTGTCGTTTACCACCAGGCGCACGACTTGTTTGTACCGTCACTTCGTATCATAAAAAAAGGTAAACAAAAAGATTACGCGTGTGACTTTCCGTACTTGGTGATGTATTACACCAAATACGGAAACGACAAAGAAACATAGGTAATAATTAAATATAGTTAATCGATGATTTTCTGTTCAATTAGTAAGAAGGAATGTCTTAAGTCAACTATGAGTAGATACTTTAAATACTTCAACTTGCTATGTTAAAAGTACGTGTAAATATGTAGTATGAGTAGTACGAGTAATATGAGTAGTTCCAACTGATCAATTAACTGCCTCCGTAGCCGAACGGTAACCATGCCGCAGACTGCGACGTAAAGGTCAAGGGTTCGATTCCCGTGCCGGGAGAAATATTTGTATGGCCCACATTTATTTCTCTCGTGAGTTTGGGTGTAATTTGTCTATGTATGTATCCATGGCATCCGCGACACAGGATTTACCTAGTGCGGGGCTATGAGTGTGTGAAAAGAAAAAAAAATGATTCGACTTTCATTCAGATTATCTATCTGTCTAATAGTTCATTAATTAATTAGTTGAAAAGCTCAGCGAGCGTAACTTTCTTTGGGCCCTCTTAAGTTGCACAATTTCATCACATGACTTATTCAACCGATATGCACGAAATTTGAAACTAACATAAAATATACAATTATACAGGTCGTGACGAAGCAGAAATTTTGAATTTCTATCTGTGACCTGTAATAATTGGGGTAA